TTCAGACTGATTAGGCAAGTTTTAAATCATTCATTGATGATTCCAAATGAATTCGTGACCTATGGTATGATAAATGTTCCAATTTCTACTTACTGTCTTTTATAATTTCATATGAAATTAGAAAGTGAAGAGATAGTGAGAAATTTTTGCCTGGTTCTGTCACGTAAAAATAGTGCAAAATATGAGTTCATACAGTTCGATTTTATATTCGTATGTACAATCAATTTATGTGATTATAACCAAATTATTCTGGTAAATCAGAGCAAAAATTGTCAAGAATTTACATGTCATAATTCTTTAAAGAATATGCTTCGTTATTCTTCCTACTTCATCCAGAAATGACTGGTCCGAAATTTTTCCTTCGTGTCTGTCGCCTCTTCTAATCTCCGCGCTGCGTTACAAACTTTCTTCTCTTGCACAATTCGACCGCGAGAATCAGGAAAGAAGAGGGCGGCCCTTTTTGCGTCGACGTAGCGTAGGCATCAGGTCTCAACGAAACATAGTAGAAGCGAAATGTTTTACGGCCGTGGCGTGGCTTTTTGTCGTCGGCATCGATGATTTCGGTGGGAGAGACGGCCAAGAAACGGACGGGTACCGGCGAGCGTGGCAACGCTATATCGGCCCCCATTAAGCTCTTATTAATTGCGAGCATCTGAGGGGCCGACCGACCTTTCTTGCGTTCTACCTGCGCGCCATTCCACCTCCAGGCTAGGCCGCGGCCGCCGCAAACGACGCTCGGCCTTCCAACTTTGATGTCGAGTCGATCCTCCGAGAGACGAGACGTATCATGTAAATCGCGGGTAAAAAGCCCCGCTCTGGCAACCCTTCGCTTCGCGTCCCACCGATCTCTAATGTACCTCTTTTTTCTCACGTGTTTTCGGCGCTGTCCGCTGTTGTACAACTCGTGTTGCTGGATAAATTGCTTAAGAATAGTGAGACCTGGGAATTAAATTCCATAACATACTTCGAGGGTAGTTCTCGATTTTAAATATTAGATCATATTTTAATAATATGCAATTAATCGTTGTTGTACAGCTCGTGTTGCTGGATAAATTGCTTAAGAATAGGGAGACCTGGGAGGTAACTTTTATGATATACTTCGGGGGTAGTTTTCGATTTCCAATATAAGAACCTGCCTGAAAGTAAATGGCAGTTGAGGGGGTTAAGAAAAATTTGTATACAGGGTGAGTCTCGCGTAACACGAAGTCTTCGAATAACTCGTAAGCTATACGATAAAAATTTGCAAACGTTGCATGCCTTCCAGAGGAATACGTGCTGTGACCTATATTTTTTATTTTTTTCCCTCTTCATCGAAATATGAGATGAAAAGTCGTCATGTTACGAGATTCTACGTGTATTACTCTCTTTGGT